CGTGCATTCATTGCAAAATTGTAAAAAAGAAAAAAAATTTCATTTAATCATCCAACAAACACATAGATTTTATTACCAGGTAACAATCCAACTTTTTTTAAAAAAGAAGAAATCTACATATTAGAAAGGAGAAACATTAATCAGGGGGAAAAACAAAGAGTAACCCCAACAGGCAAATTTAAAAAAATAAACTAATAAAATTCTAACAAGATTGATGAATAAACCTTTGCAAATAAAGTCCCTCGTGGAGCGTTGGGTACCATGGAGCAGCTGGCACAAGTCCTCCAGAATATTACTGATAAGTAGAAACTGGCCCGTTATACATCCTACAAATATAAATAATCAATACATTAAAAAATCCCATTACGACAAAAATTCATTTCATTAAATTAAGAATCTACAAAACTAAAATTTCATAAACAACAGTATAAGGCTTATACAACTAACCACTGTACAAATGCCAGCAGTGGCGGTGGTGGAATTAGAGGAGTTAACATAGGCAAATCTGATGTCCAGTAGGATTCATGAACTGGACAATTCATCTAGAAATAGGAATAATTGGGCCATCCGTTAGTATTTCCTCGATGCATCTACATTTTATCGGTTCGGGTTTGTTCTGTGATGAACAACTACCAGCTCTAGAATGAACCCTTGCCCTTGCCTGGTATATATCATGCCATGGTGCTCTCGATCTTAGTCATCAGGAAACTCTACTCTGATAGCTACTTCCTTCTCCACTTGAGGATGATGAGCCCATGGACCTATTGGGCTGCACTCAATTGGTGATCTAGTGTATGTTTTCATAGGAAGGTGAATCGGGTTATGGTTATCAGGATTTGGGTTTTCCAAAATATTTCCACAGGCGTTTTGTGGGTTTCAACATGTTCTTGATGAAGAACTCGAGTTGGTATTCATTGATGATGAAGGATAATTAGCAATGGTTGGTAAAATGTTGAAACTGCTAATTAAATGCCGTGGAGCAAAAGGAAGAATTTTTTTTTTTTTGGAATTTCAGCTGGTTTGTGAGAGACGAATGATAAAAGATGACGATGAAGAGAAAATGGTTGTTTGGTTTGGAAGTATTAATTCTGTTTTGCTTATTTTTTAAATAAGAATTTGGGAGAAGACAACTCGGATTTTTGGTTAAATGTAGAGGCATGGATCGGTGAGAATATAACAAAAGAAAAAAGCTGGCAAGGTTCGCTAATGGATGAAGAAGTAGATTGAGGTGGAGGCAGTGATGATGACCTCATATTCTGTTAGATGACATGGGTGTAGTAAAGTTGAAAACCTACACAGAAAAGTGAGAAATTGAGGAAGGAGAGCGTATACAACTTCTCCTTCTTTCTTTCTATACACTATGTGACTGTGGGAGAGCTTTCTGAAACCAAAAAAAAAAATATATATATATATATATCTATATATATATAAATCCAGATGAATCTAAGAAAGGAAATGGCCAATATGATTTGTCACCTTACATAGTTTCTACTTAGTTTTGTATTTTTCTAACTAATGATTTCTTTATTAGCCTTTAATGAGGAATGAAAGATATAAAAGTAAATAAATCATGAAAAGAAAAAAAGTTGTAAAAGATATCAATGACCCTTTTGATTCTTTGGTTTCTTAGTTGAATTCATCATTGATATTGAAGACCCAAATAAAATATAATCTTAATTATGTACAAACTAAATGGAGAAACGCCCAATTAAATGAAGCTTAATACGCCATGGGAGAAATTGATCAACTACAGCCCATTGGTTAGAGCCTAGACTTCCAATGAAAATTAAGTCTATGAATCACTTTGGACGATGTCGGTAGCTCATTTCGGAAGATAACAATATCATTTCAATATATATCTTCAAACTATGATGAAACATAAAAATTAGATATTTGAAATTTTGTGTAACAATTTATTTCATATGAAATATGGATAAATTCAAAGGCTTTTTTTAACTGTTGACAATATTGTTAAAAAACACTGATTTTGAGTTAAAACACACTCACTTTTTTGTAATCTTACAAAAGAAGAATCATCTTAACATCAAATTGTATATTTTTCAAATGTCCCGTCTCCATTATTACCAGATCTTCTCATGGTAGATTTGCACCCCAGAAATCAATCGTCATTAGTACGAGAAGTTTTAAAGCTAGATCTGAGAACATTAATACATACAGGCTTCAAATTAATTGAAATTAAGCTAGATCTGAGAACATTAATTTTTTTTTTAATGAAAATATATATGTTTAGTCGTCAACCTTTGTGGCTGTTGTTGTGCTTCCTAGATTTGAAAGGTGGTAAGCACTGAAATTTTATAGTAGTCGGTGGGGAAAAATAATTTGGAAAAAGAAATGAATTCAAGGCAATCTGATGTATCACTTAACTTTAGAGGTTTTGCTGGAGACGTCTAAACCTTGTGAAGTTGAAGAAAAATCTTTATGGGATGTTAGTTGAGCTGCAATGGAAGAAGAAGACGGAGTAGAATATGAGATGAGGTTTCCCAGTAGTCGGCTCTTTGAGTTTGGTATTGATGAGCGTGATATTTGGATTACATGTATCTGTAACCAATGAATCTTTTTGATATTAGCAAATAATCATTGCAGAAATGGTGCAAATGACACCAATTTTCATTCACCATAGATCTTTAAAAATACAGAGTACAATTAAGTACCTAATTATCTCTAGTTTCAACCTTGCAAGATCGATCTGAATATCATATTAAGAGTTTTGATACAGTACATGCATGTGAAATTGCCAAATAAATATGACTTTGAAAATTCACAATATCACCAAATTCATTGAGTGAGTGAAATGACAAAGAAAGTAAAAAAGCTTAAAAAAAAACTTCATTTATAAAAATACAACCTTTTTTTGTTTAATAATGACATCATCATATCCCCGCACCCCATGTTGTTTTTTTCTTCTTTTTTCCTATTTCTTTCCGTCTAAGTACAACCATTGAGTTGAGTTGAAGTATCAAAAATCAAATTTCAAACCCGAACCGATCAGTATTGCCCATCAACTGTTGGTCGGGCCAGTTGATCAAATCCAATAATTCATCACCCCCCAAGAATGGATCATTTCTCTCAAAATTGGTCTCCATCTGCAAATGCATCTTGCTTCTTCTGTCATTTAATTTGGTTGAACCATGGCTTCTTCCTACCTCTTCTTCATGCTTGTTCTTCTCAGCATCAACCTCACTAGCACTATTTCTTATTGATGTTGTACTTTGGAGATTTTTCAGGCCAGTACCAAAAGATGAAGAGGGGATCATGGAGGGAGAGATTTGAAGAGCCTTCTTGTGTGCCTGAACTGGACCCTGATAAGTTATCGAGTTGAGCTCCTCATCAAATTGAAAGAGTACTTTGGCTGGCTGTTCGACACGTTCCATTTCAAAAATTGGAGCCATTTGGTTGCTGCCGGCATCTTGGTTTCCTATTCACCTTCTTGAGTACTAATTATTCTGATTTCATCATGTAACATGACTGATCTAGCGGTTGAGACGATTGGAGAAGTTATCGTGGGAATGCTCTGAATGCTTTGTCCCTGCACCAAGAATGAGTTGCTTCCAAAATTTCTAGCCATACCTACGGGAAACAGTTTGAAAGAGACATTAAGTATTCATTAAAAAAAGATTAAGCAGTAAAAGAGATATACTTATAATAGAAAAGGTCATCCTCATCATCTTCTAAATGTTTCCACGATCACCCTAGTTTAACATATATAAGAGATTTTACATGAAAGAGTCGTTTGTTAGTTTTATGGGAATGACTCTATCAAAAATATGCATACTGAGAAGTGCATTTTAGCATGCTCGGCTTATTTTCTTTATTTTTGCAAGTTGAACAAGAGATTCGTAGAATGTACAGTTACTATGCAAAAATTTACATGTCATCAATCATACAATTATTTTTATCTGCACAATCGATTATATAAAATAAACTCGCTACATAATACTTATGGCTGTAACTATAGACCATTAACTTGCTACTTGTAAATTCTTTCGCAAATATGTTAATATCTATTTTTTCTTCAAAGTAACCTATTCTTATTCAATCGAAGTGGCTATCTAAAAAGAGAAATAAATATTAATGATAAAATTTTAGTAAATATACCCGTCCCTTGGCTATGCGGTTCCAGATTGAAATGTTGCCAATGGCTCATTTCAGTCTCTTGATTTGCTACTATTTGCGGAACTTGAAAATTAGAGAATGTTGTAGATGTCGGGGAGGCATTCCACTCAGTGTTTCATATTTGATACCTGTTCACAACTTATTAGTTATTTCATTTATACGAGACGTAGTAAACAAAAATCAAGCCAGATTTTTTCCCCCTTCTTTTGGAGTAAAAAAATGTATAATCAATCATTCATGAAATTGGTGTTTTAAAGATATATAATTGATTAACCTTGTTGGGTAACTGTGGAGGACATGGTAGCTTGCACATGATATGCTACCAGCGGTATGCCTCCTGAAATTTCAAAAGGGGGGAGTTTGTTTTAACAATAATTAGCACAATATTTGAAAATTTGAAGTTTATAGCAATAAATTTTTTAAAATTTTTAATTTAATCATCTAGCAAACGTTGAATATATTATTTAATATGTTACTAAGAAATTAAAGAAAAAATTACCAACAAGTTATTTTGATGTTTAAAAATAGTCAAGAAGAACATAATAAATATCATATGTCAATAAAATTAACAAGGAGAAAAACCAATTATGGAAAAGAACAAAGTCCTATCCAACTTATAAACTTGAAAGAAAAAATAAGTCATAGAATAGAAACAAATGGCAATCATTGAAATAAATTAATTACTAACCTTTGCCAGTCAAGTCCTTCATTGATGGTTGAGTTCCACGATGAACAGACCAATTCTCCAAAGCACTGACGAGCGGGAATCGATCCATACTTCCTGCGTATTAAGCAATCAGTAGACAAAAAAAATACCAGAACATAGTTTATTTTAAAAAGAAAATCAAAGGAACAAATTAAAAAAATCACATTATATTTGGGGGTTTTATGGCAAACCAATGTACAACTTGTGTTCCTGGTGACGGTGGAATTAACTGTACAACTAGTTGCGGCGGTGGTGGTGGCCGCGGTGGTAGAATAGGAGGAGTTGACTGTACAACTGACGGCAGTGGTGGCTGTGCTGGAAGAGGATTCACCAAAGACAAATTAGAAATCCTGTTGGATTCATGAATTGGGCAAGTACACTGGGAAGGCAAAATCCTGCCTTCCATATGGGTTTTCTCGATGCATCTATATTGATTTAATTCGGGTTGATGATTCCTTGATGAACTACTGCTTCCACCTCCATAATGAAGCCTTTGCCTTGGGTGGTACACATTATGGCATTGTGCTCTCCATCTTGTCCATCGCGAAACTCTATCATCCTGACGACTTCCTTCTCTGCTTGGTAGTGATGAAGCCATAGATCTATTGGCATGGACTGAATTGGAGATCTTGTTTATGTTTTCTATAGGGTTGGGTGTAGCAGATTGATTGTGAATCGAATTATGGTAATCAGGCTTTGGATTTTCCAAAGGAGCCAGCAAATTAATATCTGCTTGGACAGCTGGATTTTCATTATTTTGGTTGGGGAAATGAGGGTTGTGCCCAATAAGTTCTTGATGAGGAAGGATTATTAGCCATGGTTGGTAAAATATCAAAACTATTTAAAATTGGTGGAGCTAAAGGAAAATCTTTCTGTGATTTTAGCTTATTTGTGAGAGAAAAAGAAGAAGATGGTGATGAAGAGATATGCTGGTGGTCGGTTTGGTAGAATATGCTATTGTTATTTTGTAAGTATGCATTTGGGGGACTCAATTCGGCTCAAATTTAGAAGCTTCAGTGATAATCTGAGGAAAGAAACTATCAAGGTTTGTTAATGATGAAGATGGAGATGTTGATGATCCCATGTTTTTGTTATATAACCTGTGTTTTAGTCAAATTGACAACTTCAAGAAAGTGCGAAATTGAGGAAGAAACCCGTGCTCAAATTTTCTTTATCAATGTATGACTGTGTGAGAGCATAATTAAGTGTATGAGAAACTTTAAGGAAAAAAAACATATAAATCGAGATGGATCGAAGGAGACAAATGCTCGATATATGTGGTTTGTCATCTTGTATAATTGTTGTTCACTTCTGGGCTAGTTTAGCTCATAACTCATCAATGCTATTGAATGGTGGTTTTCCATAAAAGATCTATGTAACGGATGTATCCTTTTCTACTTTATTGAGGAATGATAAGAAAAAGGGAAAATGACCGCGATGACCCTTTTTAACTTAGTTTTTAACTTCAATTAATCATGGATCATCAAGACTTAGTTAATTACCATATTATTTTCAATATGACCGTTGACAAACTGATTATATCTCTAAGCAAAGACTTTTAATAGAGTGGTTACTTGTTTGAACTGTCTATGAAAATATTTTTTTTTATAGCTTGTAAAGGAAGTCAATTTCTCACCATGTCAAATGTTTATATTACATCCATATAAACAAGTCACACACTTGACTGAACCTTATTAATTATTATACACTATAAAAATCTTTGCACGAATTTGGAACCACTAGTTAGAAAGGCATACGTCTCTAATCTTCAATTGAAAAATATTCTTGCAGATCGTCATTTCACTAGATAACATTATTCCTTGGAAATAACTTCCTAATATAATTGAACTTGGCTTTTTTATTTATAAAATACATCGCAAGGACCTAGGAAGGCTGGCTAAATTGTCATATTCTATTGATTGTCCACTTGATGCTTGCTTCGATAGGCCATCTACAAAAATATTTGTCTCCCGGAATATAGGATGCACTTTAAAACTAGTGCAATGTAAACTAGATTGTATCTGCTACAGTGAGCCATGGTGCTTCTAGGGAAATTTCTTGCCATTGTGTAACTGTTGAACCACTAATTTGCTATCCGTTTGAATCTTGACCTTGTGATATCCTTGTTCTTCTGCCCATTTCAATCCTTGTAGTATGCCCTCTATTTCTACTGAAAGGCTGGTAGATTCTCCCATACGTCTGCTTATTACTTTGATGAACTAATTTCTTGTGTTTTTTAATACGAGTAATAAATATACTGGGGAATTTTAATGGGAAAGATATTTGGAGCAATTATAGGAACGGTTTTATTATATATGGGATAGTCTCCTTATCTACAGTATATGCATGTGGAATATTAAAGAAATTTAAAGAAAAATTCAATCGTTTATATGTATGTGTCTACACATTTTGAAAACCAGTACACCAAGTTGTATGGACAATGCGTCCCGAGAACCAATTCATAAGATTGTACAATAATCAAATTAATGATGTATAATAATGGCCATGCCCAAGCTACTACATTAAATTTTTGAAGAATTTTACATCCATTAATATTGACGTCGAATAATTTTCAAGAATTTTTCAAACAAAACCCTGGTATAACTATCATAATGCGTTACCCAGGAAAAAGTAGGTAAAAAACTATCATAATGCATGACAATATCGAAAACATATTAAAATATACTAGAATGGTTTTGTATGAATGTTTATGTACAAAACTCTACTGTAACTATGAAGTTTGAAGTTAAAAGTGGGTATGAAGACGCTTAACTAGAGAAAATTGTTGACGTTTTGGAGAGTTTAAAGTCTGGATTGAAACTTGTCAACATGTGGATTACAACAACCAGATCCCTGAAAATTCCAAAATTTATGATGACCCAACACTTTCAAGTTTGACATCTATTTATAATTTATTGGGTATTAAATTGAATTTTTTATGTTGGGATTAAATATTTGTAAATTAGTTGAATTAATATGTACTTCTTCAAACTTTTTGGAAAATTTGAACTTTTAAATTAGGTGTGTATATGGATTCTTAGTTTTGATCTGTGTAAAGTGGTCTTAATGCTTAACACTTTGATGTAGAAATGTACAATTGGGGAATATTATTAACTAACCTACTTCTTAAATCATCAATAATTTTGGTTGACGATAATTGCATATGACACAAACAAATTGTTTCAGCATTTTAATGCTTTGAAACAAAACAGCACCAGTCCGTATATGTAAAATCTCGTCAAACATTTTTTTTCACTCTCTCCTTTTTTTTAATTATATGTGCACAACAAACATGCATATCTACACCTACTTATATCATACGTTAAAGTTGTGTTTCTTTCTTTCAAGAAGAAAAAAAAATGCATATATTTAGTCAGTTGAATGCATTTGATAGAGACGAATTTCTTTGGTTTGGCCAATTATTGTTTACTGTTTAATTAATTACTATCTTAAGTTTAACTGTTTGTTGGGAAAAAGAAATTTATCAAACAAGGTGACGTTCTTATTTTGCTTGAAAGACTAGAATAGAATAGCTCTTGTGTTGAGGAGAATTAAGTTCATTAGAAGACATATGATAAAATTAAAACCATATGGAAGAGCATTAGTTGGGAATAACATATATAGAAATTAAATGAAGATTTGTATTGTTCAAAGTCAACTTATTACAACGATCTTATCAGACAACTTAATGCTTTGCAATAAATTCAAAATGCATGTTCTTGGGAATAATAATTCATAGTGATCAAAATAGTTTAACTAATATGATTACATATATGGTAGAAATAGAGGCCTTGGGGCCCTGGGGACAGTCCTGCCTATTACCAAACCATATGGAATATTCTCGACTTTTAACATATATATTTGAGTTTAAATTTTAGAAAAAAAAAGTTAATTGCTTTGTCGTATCCCAACTTAATAGTTTGAAGATGGTAAAATGGTAAGTACAAGATCGGGTTTAGTTTTTCATTGTCTATTATCCATGTTAAAATTTTAGTCTTAGAGACTTGTATGTCTTAATAGATTGATTGGAGTGCTAGTTTCAAACATTGGGTGTATAAATATCAAAAAGGAATCTAAACGTATATCAGTTACAAATCTATTAAAATCGAATGCCAAAATCAATACCTTTGAAAAACTAATATAAAGCCAAGTAATATTGCTAACTCACATTTGTTCACTTCAGTTAATCACAATGGCAAAACCAGGAATTTACTAAAGCAAGGGTGAAAAGGAGTAAAAATAAATTTAAAGTGGTGAAAATTGATTTTTTATTCATTCATTATGATTAATAAATTCAAGTGTTCTTCATTGTGCTTTTTTAAAAAACAAAAAACAATGGAAACTGAAGCAAGCTTTCACACTCACAGAAGGTAAAATTTAGAACGCGTTTATTCTCAATTCTTTCGTTATTTTAAAATTAAATACACTGATCATCCAAAAGAAAGATGAATTATGCATGACCTCTTTCTTCCTCTTATTCATCAAACCATTATTTGTTTGTTTCGTCACACATATCTGACCGATACTTTTCATAACCCAAATCTGAGTAAGTCATCTTCAATATTCTCAATCAAATAGTCGAGTCCCAACCCCCAACAAACAGAAGTTATACTTCTTCTTCTCTTAAAACCAGGGGTAGAACCAGGATTTTAAGTTCGGAGGTACGAAATAAAATCGAGAGGCAAATGCGCTAAAATTTTTTAATAAAATATCTTATTCTATTTAAAAAAGAGCAAGTTTACAATTTTGCTTTCCCATTCCAAAAAATATAACAAAATATTTAGAACTATTGCATTAATATTTTACACATTTTTCTACTAGAATTTATAACATTATGTGGTTCAAATTTATTTTTCAAGATATGTATTTTTATGGAAAATTTTAGTACAAAATGTTTAAATTTGATAAGGTTTTTATATAAGAAAAAAAACATGATTCTTTCTATTACATCAAAACCACTCCCAGCAAATATATAGATATCTCTCTCTCTCTCTCTATATATATATATATATATAAGAGTGCTAAATGTGGGGGATTGGGTATATCTCAAATTACATCCTTACAAGCAGAGCTACTTGGCTGTGAGTGCAGCTTTAAAATTCCTGGTCAGGTTCTATGGACCTTATAAGGTGTTACAAAAAGTTGGACATGTGGCTTATAAGTTGCAACTCCCCTCTCATTATAAAATTAATCGCATTTTTCATGTCTCTCGTTTGAAGAAGCATGTAGGACCAACACATGTATCATCCACAGAGTTGCCGGAAATGATTGAAGACTATGAGATTGTGTTGAAACTAGAAAAGGTGCTACAAAGATGGTTTCATCCAAAAAGGAGGACATAATGTGATCCAGTGGCTGATGAAGTGGTAAGACTTACCATAGGAAGATTCATCATGGGAAGACAACATGTTTATAGTCAAGAAATTTCCTGGATTTCAGGCTTGAGGACAAGCATGAACTCGAGAAAGGGGGAATTGTCATGGATGTTTAAATTAAATCTCTAAATTAAGTTAATTGCGCAATGGAAAGGCGTCGCTTTGTAGCTACTTGAGGACCAAGTCAACTCATGCATCCAACGTTAGCTTCTAGAATCTTTAA